TATTTAGTAAAAACAAACCTGGCCTTCATCAAAAGCTACTTTGAACTCTCTGGGCTTCAGGGAGTTAGCTTGACATAGCCTAAGGAGATTGGAGCACAAAGGAGACTGTTTGGCTTGTTGTGTCCATTTTGTCCAAGTATTAAATCCCACCTGTCATTGTAGTTGCTACAATACAACATTATCACATTATTGAATCTCATTGTAAGAAGTTTCCAAAATCTACTGCACAAAAGAAACAATATAAATATAAATTTAAGTGAATGACTGTTTTTGTGATTGCTAGAGGAAAAGGAAATGTACCTTTGCTAACTGGCCATTCAGGGGAAATCATAAAGCAATTATAGCCACTGTGGAGTAATTTGGGAGACTGGAGGAAGTGAATAACAATGAATTAGCAAATATGTTCTGACTCCTTAGTTATACCCCGAACCACATATGAACCATTGTGAACCAAATGGAATAGTCTTCTTATAGCTCATATATTCATTTTTAATGTTTTATTGTGAGAATACTGTACAGAAGAGGGGTTACAAATTACATAAGTAAGGTAATGAGTAAATTTCTTATCAAGCATTCTTGTCCCCTCCTACCATCCCTGCCCTCCATAAGAAGTCTTATCATTTCCAATGACAATACAAATCAGTTGTCTAATTAGGCCAGATTTAGAGATTTCAGCCACTAGCCTATCATTACAGCTCCTGAAAAAAATCCAGCATATATACATATGTATGTATGTATATATATATATGTGTGTGTATGTATGCATGTATATATGTGTGTGTGTGTGTGTATGTATGTATATACATATATGCACATTGGAACTAGGTGGGTTTTGGAAACCTAGCATAAATAGAAAATTTTGTAGACAATATTTGCAAACCACAATAGTAAGCTCCAAGATCATGTGTGGCTTGTGTTTTGATGGTGTAAGGCAATATATAAATATATTCAGTATTTTAAGTGTGCTATAACTCCCACTTGTACTGTCAAGGAACACATCCCAAAATGTCCCTACAGACAGAGCAAAATTCATACGTTCTTTTTTGCATTTGTAGCCTGACCAATGAAAGTATCTCAGAAAGAAAACTGAAGGAAAAAATTGCAATGTCTGAAACAGTGGCTCAAAGAGTAAAACTCAATTATAAATGACCTTGTTAAACCGGATGCAGTCATGATGTAGGTCAAATCATGTAAAATAGTGCAAAACTTATTCCCTAAAAATATAGTCTTTCTAAATCTTTACTTGCTATCTTTAAGACAAAATCAGTACTTAAATGGGCCCCATTAAAAACATTTGTGTGGGGCCATAAACAGGTATAGATATAGGGATTATGTAGATATTTCAGAGAAATGTATTTAAATTCTGCTTTCTTCACATTGTAGTAAGTCTAATCATTCTGCTTAAAACTTGTATAAGAAGACAGTTATTAGTTTTATTAGTTTATTGATAGAGGCAAGTGAATCACTACATTGAATGAATAGAATCAGCCCTTTGGAAAAATACCCAAGAAGTCTATGGCCAATAATAACTAAAACAATGAAATTAACTGGCAAGTTTCAGTTTTTTAGGCCTATCTGTCACCCATTTCAGACTGTACTCCAAATCTCTAGTGAAACTGTTTTCTAAACAGACTCATGGTGAGTCATTGTAAAATGATTCCCTTTCTAATGAAATAGTTAATAGTTCAATATGCTCCAAGCAGCTCACAATCTGATTAACCAAAGAATTTTCAAGTAAGACAGCAATTCATCATATTACATAGCATTACCAAATCAATGACTCCAAAGTAAGTTATATCATATGAAATACTGTGCAAGTGCATGGGCCAGACAGGAAGTTGGTTCAGCTGACTTGGCCTTCATAATTTAGCAGCAGTCCATATTAATGCTTTTCTTCTCTTTGTTTTGATGAAAGTCTGCTAATAACAGATTGATGAATTATGTTCCAAAATGGCAGGCATAGAGCAAAGGGGACTAATATTGAATGCATATTTTACTTCAGCCTATGAGTTTTCACCAAGAAAACAAAACTGCAGTGCATGGTAAAGTTCCTTTTTTTTTTTTAACTTGAAGTTTCCATGAACGAAGCAGCTGCAGAATAATGTGACTTAATGAGGCATCCCTAATAAAATACTGCAGAATTAAAAGCAGGGGCTCTGAACTGTTTGCACTCTGGCTGTTTCATCTCCTCAAATATAGTAGAGATGACTACTGACACTTTGGATCATGGGACACGCATTACAGAGCCATCAGTAAATGCCCATCAGTTTTCAGTTAACAGCTGAACTTGGAAACAATCTGATACACTTTTTTTTTTGGAGGCCAAGATAATAAATGCCTGGGAAATACTAGAGAGATATGGCTTATTCTTCCTGTACAGGGTAACTCATAAAATGTAATCCATGATAAATCAACCTGTACATTTCAATATAGGAAAATACACTGGGAGATGAGCATCGAAACGCTATATTGCAAATATTAGATTCAACACTATGAAATTCTTTTGATAGGACAAAACAATTTCTCTAAAAATTTTTCTATCAACCCTTAAGTTTCATCATTATATAAATTTTTAAAGGGGGAAAATGGCCATGTCTAAAAACAGATCTCTTTACAGCCATGTCATCATATTTTGTAACTTGGTGGTTAGTAAACATTGTAATGCAATCTCTAAGCAATACATATGCATTTGACACAGATCCATGAGCAGTTCAAGGAATCTTTATTCTCCCATCTGTCATTGTTAAGTAGCTAATACTTTTCCAATTCAAAACCACACACACTCAGAAACCTTAGCTTTCCCCTCTAGCTTAACTTGGAGCCTTAGATAGGTATTTATTCTCATGTTAAGGGATTTGACTCTCTTAAGAAGCACGTATCATAGCACTATATATAAATATGAGACCCAGAATCCTAAAAAACTAATTGGTATTAAAGGCAAGAAATAATCAAATGTTAATCTCTAAAAACATCTGCTTTGAAGAAAAACACTCTAAAACAGTTTTTCCCTCTTGAAAAGACTCCTTTTGCCTAAGTGCCCAATGAGCAGTGATATTGTTCTCAAAGTCTTATATCTACAAATAATACAACCCACTTGCTTTCATTGAAAATTAGGAAAATGAAAGTAAAAGAGGCTTCGGTGTGGTTTTGTTGGCCCTTCAAGGGCTACTGATAGCTTTAAAAAATTAGGATTCCAAGAATGTCAAGATCCAATCAACTGAATCAGGATGAGACCCAAAATAAAATAGAGGAAAGAGACAAACATTTCTGATCTTTCCTTTTAAATATAAGATGCCAATTTTGGAACTGTGAATGATTCACCAGTATAAGAATACTTGTGCAAACATGGAAAGAGTACTGTAAATACAAATAACCCTAAAGCTGACCATTAAAAGTATTTGTCATCTCCTTTGCAACTAATTTCAGCGTATGACTTTATGTTGAACTCTTAATTACTCATTTTTCTTAACTTATCACCTAATAGAATAGTGTTAGAGTATTAATTGGTAACAGTCTGAACGTTGATGTCTAGAACAATCCAGTAGGGATGACAGGAACCAATCTGTCAATACTCTTTGAAATTCACCCTGTCTCAGGGCAAGACCCTCATAACCCTGAATGTTTTAGGGGTACACAGAGTAAAGGAAAGGTTTGGAAGTTGGGTAAGGTTACACACACACACACACACACACAGAGATGGTTTTGTAAAATCCAAGAGCTTTCACACTCACAAAATGAAGGTGTTTTCTTTTCTGTCTCACGCCACAAGGCATACTCACCCAGCACAAGGTGAGCCGAGGCCAGCGGCTGTCCTAACTATACATTTGATTGCAAATGCTCCACGGGAAATAGGGAATAGGAAAGCAGCCTCTAGCCAAGGGCTCTTAGAGCCGGGGGTTGTCCTATTCAAGTAGAGACTAGATAGTTCCACCTGCAGTTCTAAGAGAAATAGGGCAATGGCTCTCAAACTTTCCCTGGCTGAAGCAGCTTCTGGCAATCCCATGTTCCTGGCTGATCAGTAAATAACAGAAGCCTTAAGAAAAATCGCTCCTGGTAGACACCCCGCGTTTTAGGAGGGGGAAGGAACCACAAAGCAACGGGGCGGGAACAACCGTGTACTATGGGCAAGATTCTGGAGATACAAATCTAGGAGGAAATGGAAAGGCATTTACTCTGAGCGGAAAGCGGTGCCTTTTTCTGCACACTACTTAAAAAAAAGTCCTTCGCTGATGCTCTCTTGTCGTAGCCTTTGCAAAAGCTAGCGTTCATTCTGGAATAAAGTATCTGCTTGGGGTTGTGTGTGTTTGTTTGTGTTTAAACAAATCTCCAGATAGGCGAGATTCAGGAACTTAGCCGCGTGGTTCTTCCTGACAATCGTTAAAGGTGGAAATCGCCATCGCCTCCCTGAAACGCCCACCCCACCGCAGGCAGACCCCAGAATGAACTAATCAGAAGTGGACGGAAAAGTAGGGGCTGTCAGAAAGGCGAGCTGACACAATCCACTGATCATGAATGCCCTCTTGAGCGCGACCCCCCCCCCCGCACACACACACCCCTCAACTCCAAATTAGGACTCCAAAATGGTTACGGGCCGGGATGAGCGACGGATGGAACGCGATCCCCTGTTCCGTGCTCAGCCCGGCCGGCCGCTCGGCCGCGGGAGGAGAAATGGGGCTGAGAAGAGGAGGGCGCCTACCCCCTCTCCTCGCCACCCTGTGCCCACTCCTTGGCCCTTGCCCGCTGACTAGGAGAGACCCAGCGGCCAGGCTAGCCCCTGGCCCTCGCCTCTCGCCTCTTGGGGCGAGCCTCCCCCCCCTCTCCTCCTCCCCTTCTTCCCACGCCCAAGTTGTCCCGGACCCAAGGGAAAGCCCAGGACGGTCCGGGTGCCCAGCGCGGGGGTTCGGGTTGGCACTGGGATCCCCGGAGCGGACCGGGGATGGAGCTGTGGGTCCGGGCGTAGAGTGGGGCGGGCGGGGGTGGCCAGCGGGACTCGCACCTACCTGCAGCCCGGCTCCCCGGTGGCGGCAACACCTAGCGATGTCCCTGCAGCTCCCTCGGGCCGGCGCCAGCCTCACCGCTCTCGCATCGCTTCCGAGATGCCAATCCGCCGTCAGCATCCAGGGGCATAGGGAAGCCACGTCTGGTGGGGCGAGCTGGTGGAGGGCGTGCGTGTGCCTTCGGAGCGGGTGTGTGAGTGTGTGTGTGCGTGCGTGTGCGCGGGGGGGGGGCGATGGCACGGAGGGTCCCGCAGTCTCCCAACCTGGAAATACCCCGCACCCCGGACAGCGAGTGGCCTGGCGCGAGGCGGGTCTCGCTCGCTCTCTCTCTCTCTCTCAGCGTCAAAGTAATCCAAAGGTGTGTTCACAGGGTGGGGAAGGGAGTGTGGCGGGTCCGCGCCCAGCCCCGCAGCCCTCGGCGGCAC